AGTCTTGAGTTTTGTGAGTCTGGCTGAGGAGAAATTTCACTCAGAGAGAGGCCCAGTGACACTCAGGCCAGAACAAGGTGGGCTGGCAGCCCTTACCCACCCTCCCTCTCTCTAGGATGGCTGCCTGACAGACCCTCCCTCTCGGTGCAGCCAGGCCCCAGGGTGGCCTCAGGAGAGAATGTGACCTTGCAGTGTCAGTCACAGAGCCCGAGGGGCACGTTCATTCTGTCCAAGGAGGGGGCAGCCGATCCCCCCCTGCGTCTGAGATCAGAGAACCGAGCTCAGCAGTTCCAGGCGGAGTTCTCCATGAGGCCTGTGACCTCAGCCCACGGGGGCACCTACAGGTGCTACAGCTCACACAGCACCTCCCCCTTCCTGCTGTCACTCCCCAGTGAGCCCCTGGAGCTCCTGGTCTCAGGTGAGGGCCCCTGAACCTGTGTGCTGAGCTGTTAGCTCAGGGTCCCATCCCCAGAAAAATCACAGGCTGAAAGGCAGTGAGGGGCTGTAGGGATGGTCACGCAAGGAGATCTGCCCCTCAGAGACTCTCCACCCCATGCACCGCCCTCCCCATCACCTGGTACAGAAGGTGCCACGTAGGCAGTGTGAGGGTCTGAGGGGCCACAGGGCAGATGCAGGAGGAGTCTGAGTGAAATGGGGAGTCTTGGATGGCCCCAGTGTCTCACACTTTGTCCTCCTTCCCTGCACTCTTCGGTACCCCAGCCCCCCACCAACAGCGACCATGTCAACAGCTGATGAATCCTGGGTCCGCTCAGAGGGAGCATTGTCGACCCCAGGAAATTTCTGAGTCTCTTAGAGGATCTAGCGCCCTCCCACCACCCCCCACTCAAAGACATGCTTGTGTCCCAGGGGACCCAGGATTCCGGGAGAAATTTCAGGGAACTATTGGGCTCCAAGGTCTCTGAGGATTCTCCCCCCCACTCCATGGAGTCAGGCCTAAGAAGGAGAAGTGAGGCCGGTGACAGGTGGGTGGTCATGTCAGAGGGAGATGTTGGGCCCAGGCTGAGGGAGAAGTAGAGGCCGGAGAGTTGGAGAGAGGACAGGGGGACATGCCCTCAGCTGCTCATTTCCAGAGCCCCTTGGATGGAAGCCCTCACCCCACAGGTGGGGTCCTGATCCTTCTCAGAGCAGGACAGGTGGCTGCTCTGGCCATGGTGAGACCTGCTGTGGGTGACAGTGCTATCCACACTGCTATAGTGAGAAGTGTCCCCACCTGTGGGCACCAGTCTGCAAGGCCCAGTTCCCCCTGGAGCCCTCCAGGCCCTCAGTGCTCACCTGAGACTCAGGGGGACCATGGAGGGCTCACGAGGAACTAGCAGGTCCTGCCCAGACACTGTGTGAAATTCACGTTTGCTATCTGCATTTTCTGTGCATACCTCTCTGTTATTGCTCTTTTGCTGGGAACTTGTAGGCAATGCTTACATATAACCTGCAAACATTTAGACTTTAAAAACATGGATTTCTTCTTGTATTAATGGGGTATATTAAATGTATGTATTTATTATGAAGAATACCTTATTTACATGATGTTTCTTTAAAAAGATGCTTCAAAATATTAAAATTTAAAAATATGATTTTATTGATTTCAGAGAGGGAGGGAGATACAGAAACATCAATGATGAGACAGAACCA